CATTGTTATTACTCTTGTGTAAAAATATCTAACTAAGAGTAATCACAAACTATTTATCTAGCAAAAACTGACATTATTAAAACTTTTTCCGACTGCCTTCCACAAATTTCCTTGTGCTCCAAGAGCTCATTGAGTTGATTAACGGAAATATTGGCTTAACTCCCATTAAAAAAATTGCATCTTATTGGGAATCGAAACAATACGCACATTACAAGTATTTAGAGCTCATTTTCTCATACTGGCTTGTGCCAATTGTGGAAGGAAAAATCAACAATCCAATTTCTTTGCCAAAACTAATTGCAGTGGTATCATCGTGTTTTGCATAACTTACGACATATACATAATGCAGTGTGCAAAGACATTAATAATATAAGGGTAAATTACAAACACCCCCCTGAGGTATGACCAAATTACAAAAACACTCTCTTGTTTGGATAATTACAACCACCCCCCTCAACTCATCAAATTTAGTAGAATCTTCGAGATTATATGGAATATTATCACTTTTGTACCCGTTTTATCCCATTCAAACTCTACATTATGAAGCAAATTGACCATAATATGTGATTTTTAGCTTGTATATATCAGTTTGTGGTGCATCGAAAACTGTATTTTTTACACAAAGAGTACAAACTAGAGCACATTTCACGGAATCTAGATGACTATGTTGAATTTGGCACCATAAAGGTAAGAAAAAATCATAGTTGAGGGGGGTAGATGTAATTATCCAAACAAGAGGGGGGTTTTTGTAATTTAACCATACATCAGGGGGGTGTTTTTAATTTACCCATAATATAAAAGACCCATGTGAATTTTACTTTAAAGTCAAATTTAGCAGCCCTTATACTATTGAATTTGGGAGAGAGAACCTTTTTTCCCCTTTTTTTCTAGCTAAATTTTCCAATACGAAATTTTTTCAAATGCGATTTTTTTATTCAACTTTTTCATCTCATTTGATATAAAAGATTCATATAAATCATGAACGTCCAGATTCCTCAAGTAACAAAAGGAGAAATTTGAAAAAATAAAATCCACATAAATTCGGAAAATTAACACCGGGAATCACACGCCAAAGAGAAAAAAAATGCGGCTATATGGATACACACCTACATACACCCACATAAAGATAAATGAGTATGTATGTGTTAGAATCCGGGAGGATTCTAATTTCGGTTTTTCAACACGAGTGTGAAAAACGTGTTTACAGCTAGGGAAGTTTCCTTAGTTCTTTTAACTCTTATTTTGTCATTAATTTATTTAATTGCCTAAGTGTTTTTGTTTAACAAGGAATTTTATTTGGAAAAGGATTTCCTTTGTTACACAACTCTCTTTTTCTTACGTGAGATAAAATAACCTAATGGGCTCCACTTTTGTGTAGGGCTCTACTAATTCACCTAAGGAAGTATAAGAAGGGGAGCATCAACGTTGTTTTAGGTCGTCCCTTTTATTTTGAGAGAAAAAATCCTTTCTGCTCTTACGTTGCTGCCCCAGACCCTTGATCTTAATCCGAGAAGAAAATACAGAGAAAGGGTTTGCTTCTTTCACCGAAAAGAAGATCGGTTCTTCGGGAGGAGAATTCAGAAGATCTCGGGAGGAGGTCGATCCGCCGACTGAGGGACTCAGCGTTGAAGGAATTTCAACCGTGCGGAAAGGGACGTGGTGCAAAGTGAAGATTGACAATTCAGCGTAGGATACAAGAACGGCGTCGACAAAGAGGGAGTCTTTGCATTTTCGATTAAGTCCTATTACTGTATTCGTAAAACTAAAAATTAGTGAATTTCGTTTGCAGGTCCCCGTGGATGTAGGGTACAATTGTATCCGAACCACTTTAAAATTTGTGTCTTTTTATTACTGTTCCATTAACTGTTGCAACTCTTCGTAAAACAGTAGAACAGTAGCTAAAACTGAATCTCGAATTTATCGGACACAAATTTATAATTAATTTGCACGAAATAATTCTCTCAATTGGCATCAAGAGCCTGTCACTAAATATATCTAGTGAGATTTTGGGAACTGATTACTCTTATTTTGTGCAGATATGAATACTCAACGAGAAGGATCTTCAACTACTCGCCCACCTCTTCTATCGGGCCCCAACTACTCATACTGCCCATCTAAAATGAAGATGTTTATCACATCCATAGATGAGAGAGCATGGCGCGCCATCATAACTGGTTGACACCTCCCATGATCAAAGGAGAAGACAAAGCGGAAGTA